AAATGCACTGTACATACATTGGCGGCATCCGTGTTCACTGGCAGTTTAAATACAACAGATGCACATGTGTTTGTCCAAACAGGTATGTGCTACAACAGACTAGATTGAGACACATTAAACCTCATGAAGAGTAGTACTACAAACGTGCATGGTTTTCGTTTGTAGGTAAAGCTAACAGTTATTTTCGTACACACGAGAATAAGAACCCAACACGAACTGTTGATGCTTTCGTTAACATTTAAACGTGAACATAAATGACAGCCTTATACCTTGGGCATCGCTGTTTGAACGAAACCAACAAAAGAATAGTGAAGCAACTGCCATCAGTACGGTTACCAGGTAGGATGATAAATAAACAAGGGGTACAGTAAAATACTGTGTATTGAGGTGCCGCCTCCTGTACATAAAGTTGGGCTTGTGAAGCTGATGGAGGAAATCGCCCAACTTACGAATGCGATGACGTGTTCACTTCAGGCTCTTTGTGTCACCGACCGCCGCCTAAGACTGGACCAGTCCGATCATCTGCTGTCCGAGGTTCGTGCGGATTCTCAAAGACCGTCTTTTGCGCAAACTTATGCACTGGCAGGTGGTAATATCACATTTTACCGCCTGTGACGTCTGGCACGACAGCAATCGCAGTAATACATGAAGTAAGTATTAGAGACGCAAACGGAGCTGAATTTGGGAATCGAGTGAGAATTGATTAGCCAACAAATACCAGCCCGCTTCTAAAGACTCAAACTATTCCGTCAATATGATTAATTCATGGAGTGGAACTCTGGCTGAAAACCCAGACGCAGAGTTGTGTGGGTGCGTGACTGAGAAATCAGACAGTAGCAGTCTCAAAAGGCAGCTAGCAGCAGTACAACAGTTGTCAGTGGCAAAGCGCAGAGGGAAAGAAGAAGCGTTATAACACTAAGTCCTGCTGCCCACTGTCAAACATTCGGCTTTCAAAACAGTGTTCACACTGGTTTGCAAATTTCCAAAAAGTAGCATGGCTGTCACATACAGCTGTGTACTCTGCTGTGGCCATATGCAATTTGGTAACGATCTACGTCGTACGTCTACGGTGCAGTCATTCGGCGCTCAGAAGCACTTGTCGCTGTGCACCGATTCTTTTCTTATGTGATAGACTAAGACACTGACGTACCATTACCGTTGGCATTACCTTCTTCTTAGCCTATACAGAGGATTGGTCATATCTAATTCAGCTTCTAGCAGCTCCCTCGGTTCTTCCGCCTTCAGTCCGCATCATACCCGCCTTTTCATAAGCGCAGGTAAATTCGGTATGGCTGATGGACAACGGGCAATATAACTGTTGAATGCTGCCTCTTGAATACGTCAGGTTCTAACAATGTGATACCAACTCTCCTAGTCGGATGAACGAACGAGACTCAGAATTATTTCTTGCACAGCATGGTAACTGACAAATCTGTGTGGGTTCTCGGAACTTAGCCGCGAAAGACTAATTCACACGAGTCGAACGGGTTCCTAGACCGAACGCAAAGTTTCTACGCACGATTTCCCAAACCAAGACTGAATCAGGAACAAGACAGGCCTTTTGCCACAGGCACTTTTACTTGCCAAAGCTAAGGCGATTCTAACCTCGTACAGCCTCATTTTTATGTCACGAAACGGTGATGAGGAGGGCTTTCCCTTGGAAAAGTTTGCTTAAGCAAACCCTGGAAGCAAGAAACATGGTTTTATGTAAATATGCAAAGTCCGTAAAGTGAGCAGGAATGTTGGAAGTTTGGCGAGAGTTGTCCGGAAAATAAATGTTGCTTGGATACAACAATGAGTGTTTGGTTGGAAACGAGACCGTTTCTGGGTACAAAGGCTAAACGAATGTGAATGTTCCACGAGTTGGAAGGCTGATTGAACGTGTGCGTTTTGTCTGATTCGAGTACATGTGCACTTGTGTGAATCGTGTTTTCAGCCTTTCGTAGATGGGGTCATCTAATCTACTAATCAATTTCAAGGAGCAGAATATAGGTGGCAAAAGGGATGGTAGCAGCCTCGCATAGCCTGGTGAGCAATACCATGGAGCTTACATAGTAATGTGAATTGCGGACGAATGATAATACGAAGAGGATGATGCTGTAGCTCATTGTCTCGGTATGTCACCGTAGTAGATTCCACTTGAGAAGGTAGCATGGGTATCATAGGTCATGTGGGGTACTACAACAGTGTAGTGGGCAACACGTGAAGTAATCGCGAAATGCAACCGAGTTACATAAGTCCAATAGAAGGTAGATTAGATGTGGCTCTTCCGTCTTAAACAGGTGCAATAGAGGTACTACATTGCACCAATCATTCTAGAATGAAACTGTACCTAAGCGCGACTTCCATGAGCGATGGAATACGGATGTCACAAAGAAGATGATGGAGATGGAGTAAGCAAATTTTCAGGTTAGCAGGGAAATGGTGCGTTTAAGTCCACTGCTATTCATAAGCTCAGCTAACTTAAAGTCAACGGATGAAGAACGGGAATTGTAACTATGCTCACTTTAACGTAGAAGTAAAACTCCAGTGGGACAGTGATGACTTAGGATTCTTGTGTACTGAAGATGTCATCTCCTACCTTAACTGCAGTCTAAGCCAGAGCCGAGGTAAGCGAGAATTAACAGGTATGTGGAACCACCAGGGTGTCAGTCGTGTCTTACCGTTTGTTATTCCCTTGCTCACCCGTTCTGGCGATAGCATATCTCGACCATTTCGTTAGTGCCTAAAATGCTACCTGTGTCCATACATTTCGATTTTTGATGTCACATCGTGTTGCCGCTGTCCGTGAATCAAAATTGATGACTTGTCTGAATCCCAGTTTATGTATTTGAAGGCGACAGTAGTACAAGGGAACGTACAGAGGCATTTGAACGGTTGCATTGACATCACATTGGGACCCGCAATACTTCATGGTGTCACACGAATTGAAATGTAATATGATCCATCTGTCAAGTTGAAATGTAACGAGACCCGAATAGATGTTGGCGCTACCTGTACTTTGGGCGAGCCCCAGTTTGACATCGAGTCATTATATATATATATATATATATATATATATATATATAATGCGCTTTGAAGGTACCACTTTGATTTGTCTCTCTAACTCTGTGTGTGCGAAGAGGGACACCAAGTTGCAGAATGTTTCTTCCTATGCCTGAAGTGGGTGTTTTCGTATGTCTGAAGGAAGGGTTGGTGTGCCTTAAAGCCTCAATGAAATGAAACGACTTGCTCTTTTCGGATGTTTTGTGACCCTCATAGGTGTTTCGCTTTCACTTACTTTTTACCCTCATCATGGGCCACATTGATGTCTTTTCGCTGGTACTGAACCGATAGAGCCGCCATTTACCTGGAACCTTAGCGCTACCCCACAACCCCTTCTAGTTCATCATATACATAGCCTTTTTAGAATGCCGTCGATTCTTTCAGTTTTGTTTCTTATACCTTTTTATCTTACTTGCTTTTCGCGATTTGTTCTAAGGTCTTAGTCTTTCGTGAATAGTCTATCCGTTCACGTAAGATGGTTTTCTTGACCATACAATCTTAGTTAAAGATTTTGTAATTGCCACTTTTAATTGTTGCTAAATTTTTATCTGTCTTTAGGAGAACTATCTGCGCCTTTTGATCAATGAAGATTGGCCCGTCTGGGGTCCCAATCCTAAACTACCGATACGTGCAGAACCGGGGGAATCCACGGTGGAGATCGTGGAAATGTTACATTCCTTATCAACCTCCAGCGTCACCAAACGCAAAGGTGTTCTTCTACGACTGTTCGCCGTAAGTGGTTTATGGCGTCTCATACAACTTGCTATGCCTTCCCTGAGGTTATTCCTCCCATGACCTAACCCTAATTACTTGCCACAGCTTAAAAGTGTGGTCCAGTATACTCTTATCCTTCTTCGAGTTTAGCTGACCGTCGGTTACCTGATAGATTGTCCCAGAAACCGGCACTCATTGTCCGAATTGTCCGTATGTATTATGCACGCTAGAAGATCATCTCGTCATGGCACACTACATGAGTGGATCCGATCGACAGCCATATGTGGACTAAGGCACCGTGTCGGAACTGATTAAGCAGCTTTGTGGACCACGGTCTGAAGTATTTACCGACCGTCTCTCATCGAAACAAGGTTGCGCAGGCCTCCCTTCACCTGCCTCAGTGTTTCGAGAACCAGACGTGCAGTGGCTATGGTTGACGTTACCGTCGATGTTTCTCTGTAGGGTAGTCTGTTCAGATTGTTAGTTTACCCGTGTAGCTAAAAGGCTATTTCACGTCTCATCCTGTCACTTCCTGTTTGGCAGCCATTTACTTATTAGCATTGGTTCTAATTTCCGCCGCATTCCGGCCATGTAGGATCCCATCCCACCTAGTGTTCTCCGCTAATCTCACATTTAATTCCTCATATTCTCAATTGCTTGATAGCTAACCACCGGTACAAGTCGTTAGTGCACTGCCATTTGCGTGTCTGATTAGTACTGCATCAGTGCTGTTCTGTCCGTAGATCAACCATGGTTGCACAACAATGAAGCATCAGTTCAAATGGCTGATGTACTGTGCATCTAAATTTTCTTGCGGCCTATGTCGAGATCGCTTGGCTTCATGCTATACGCATCTCACACGGAACGTTATTTGCATCGAGCTCGATCAGTGTGACTAGCAAAACGCCACAATCATCACCCACAGTAAGGTCGACGCGCTCGGTTCTCCTCTTTTATACCTCTTATGTCACATGCTTTTGTTTGTGCGGTTAACGTCGATACACACACACCGAACACAGGGCTAACGGTTTCCTAATTCCGGTCTGAATGCGCATCCAACGAACCCGTGACCCACGTTGGCGGTGTTCATGGCGTATGAACTCCTGTCACAATACCCCTGTATTCAGTCACTACACCACGATCGTTGCTGGTCACTGCCACCCTAGAACCTACGACACCTTGTGCCTGCATAAACACCTAACCCACCACAGCTTCTTCTCTTTTATGCTCATCATTTCTCCGATGGCCGGCTGTTTGTGGTGGTATCTTGTTGACAAGGTGTAGGTGCCTTGACCCTGAATGTTTGTTTAGGGCATACAGTTTTACGCTAGGTCATCCTTCTCTCCCTTTTCTTATCCTTCTTTCCGTAGGTCATCATGGTTGTACGGCACCGAAGCATCAGTTCAAACGACTGATGTACTGCTGTTGATGATGGTGATGATCAGTTCCACCGCAGTCTTAAGATTGGTGTAATCCGCAAGTGTTATGGACATGATATCATGTTTTGGTTAATCACTTACTCTCTTTGCTTGAACGTGTTCACTGCAGCTTGATTGTCAATGCACCTTTTATTTTATCCACTGGGTCGTTGTCGTCCGAACATCCATTGGTATTATGTTGTTTTCGCCTGTGCTGCGTTCGGTATTTCGTCCAACAAATAGGGTCTATGCAGTGCCTGCTGAATCTGCATTTTAGTTCATTTTTCGAGCAGTTTACGCGAAAGGAAATTAGTTTGCTTCATTTTGCCTTATCATCCAGCATCCTTGGTTCCATTTTGGCTTTTGCATGTTCACGAACACTTACTGTCATTTTGCCCATATTGCCTTTTAGTCTTATGTGTTGCAACCGTTGTTTCTGATAGCCACCGTTTTGTGTATGTCGCGTGATCACTCGTCTTCCCATCCACCCTCCGCTTCTCTTCGCCTCACCCTTTCTGATCCAGCTCGCGGCGAAATTGGAATCTGACTGGGCCAGTCTCGCTGTCGCTCGTCTCATGCCTGATGCATCCACTGTGCAGTTGGCTATACGCTACGCTGGTCGTTTACGTCGACAGAATTTGGCCGAAAAGCTAGCTGGAATTGCCCTAGAGAAAGAAGAGGCCGCTCTAACTCCCTCGGATTTGAGCGGTGGTGAAGAAGAAGAAAACGATTTCCACGTGTCCCAGGCTGTACGTGTCTCTCATGGTCACGGCCGTCAACAATATGTTCCTATGTAAGTGCCGAGGTAGATGTTGCACGCGTATAGTGTGCGACATCGCTCCAAATGAGTAAAACTAACCGGTCTCGCCTAATTGCAGTATTTCGTCCCGTTCTCCCGCGATGACCAGTGATGTCTACTTTGTGTTCAGAAGATCATCAATTCGAGGCTACGTAGGTGCAGACGACCTCGCGACCTGTGTGGGTCGCATGACAGCAAAGCGTCAATGGGAAAAACTGGCGTGGTTCTGATGCCTATCAACATTTCCACTGTGTGGTGCAGTTTTATTTGTGAATTCACATCTTTCGACAGTGCGTTGAGCCCAACCATTTACGGTATTCATCCATGATAGCTGACTAGCTTATAGCTCCATGATTTAGTCAACTTAGGAAAAGCCGTGTACACCGATCATCTGTTCTTTGGTGCACGGAGATCGGTGCATATGAATTGACGACTGAAGGTAAGAGCATGGCATCATATAGCAGTGCTAGTTCACTTGGGCTGATAGAAAAACGGACGTCTGCATCTGGATCTATGGGCTCGCACAGGCATCATGAAGTTTGTGCGAACATCTGTCCGCTGGTTCTCACTAGCATAGATTACAAACGACTCCTCTGGGACCATTGGATGATCTAGGGGACGTTTATTCAGGCGACATGCGCCCCATGCCCATCAGTCCATTCTACTCGACGTTCAATTGCACCATGACATCAGCTCGAGTCAGAACAAAACGGTGTTTTGCATGAATGTGTAGGTAAGGGTGAACTCCCTTTGGATACCGTTCCCCGGTCGCAGCCGACCGTTGGTTTTACTTTGAATCCGACTTTTTTTGCCGTCGGTGACATATATGTTCACTAGAATCACTGGTTTCTTTTTTCTTCGATGCATTACGCAGTTGGTACACTCATGTGTATGTATGCGCTGGTCTCGCGCTGCTGTTATGTGGGTGCTGGGACTAGCGCTGACACAGCGTCCGCTGTGCCTTATCGCTTCAGTCGGGCTTTGTTTGAGTGTCTAGCGTGTGCTAGAAGCAAGTCTGCCCGCGAGTGGCCTGGCCAGCTCTGCTATGTTCGATGTGGGTGTTGACATGGTGCCTGCACGTCCGACCCGGCTGCATTTATTCGTGACTGCAGAAGATTGTCAACCGCTGTTGGAATATACGAGATGCAGTCTCAAAGTCGGTTCCATCAAGGAACGTGCTTCTATCTAGCCGCCACCCTTATTAACCATGGTACTCATGTTCTCTTCAATTTTCCGCGAATAGTGTGTACCTTACGGGAGTATGGGCTTGCTCCCCATTAATCTCTGGTCCCTATCGCCTTGTCTTCACTAGGTGTGATGAATGTGTGGATGGAGCTGCAGGTACTACAGTCCTAACTATTCGCCATCCCATTCGCGTGTCTGTCTGCAGTCACATGGCAAACAAGTCTGGAACTCGATGCTGTTGGCCACAATCATATGCTACTACCACTACGCTCTTGTTCCTTTTCCATGCGCTTTTGTATCGTAACCAGCGATTGTCTAACCTCGTTTCCTCAATCCGTTCACTTTCGCGATCGGAACGTCAGTAACAGGAAGTTCGGGTTGCTATGCACAATTCCCCTTCATCCGGTCGATGAACAACGATCAGATGGCTAACCGGCTGAAGCTGGTGTGGGAACATTGAGTGCCAGATGAGAGGCGGAAACTTCCTGGGTGAGTGGCTGTCCGGTGAGGCCGTTAACACGATGCCATGCAATAGAGCTAGATCAGTGAGCGCTAAAAGATACTGCGCAGTTAGGCACTTGGCCTCACTTCGTGGTCTTTGGCTATCCCACGATAAATGGGTTTGGCAACAGGTCGTTCGGTCCTAACGCGTCAATTGTAACTTATGCCATTGAATTTGGCGATTGTTGACGGAGCGTTAGAAGCAGTAAAAACTCCTGAAGATGCATTGACCACATCTTTACTTTTCAAGCCAACTGCTGGCGTAGCGATATTCACACAAAAATGGCATTCCCCAATCCGTAACCTGGGGACGCGCTCGTTAGCGTACAGTTCCCCCACGGGTTTTGGGTCAATACTAACCACGACCTACTACCAACCATCACAAAAGTTTTTGCTAACTATCTCTCCGAACCCGGGATGGCAACATCCCAACTGGAATAACGCAGTAACTCATTACAGACCTGAAGATACTTACGGGGGAAAACGCCTTCCACTACCTCCCAATGGTAGCCTCAGTTTCTGGCATACTCTCCACTGCCACTTCCTCCTACGGAATATTCTCACCACTTGCCAAGTGACCCTTTTTAGGTCGACATCCGCCCCTACCAATAGGGCCCCCACATACGACAATACAACGATGATACAATGGTGATCTAAATGTTCCAGCATTTCCTTCGCTGGAGGTAGGACATCGTGACGTACAACGTTGCCCAGTTTTTTTTTCACCATGGCGCACCACCCACGTCCATGAATACAGAGGGTGAGATATAACCAAATGTGTGTATCCTACCTTATCCCTTTTACTTAAACCCGCTATTATAAATATTCGTTCGCTATTACCAAAACTGGGTATTCTTACACGTTATGTACTTTAAAACTCTTCACATTGTTCGTATTGCCGGAACATGGTGCACATCTGCCACAGGTGACTTTCGACTGTATGTTTTGGGTTATCAACTGTTTCGAAAGAATCGTCTGCGCAAACGCGGCGGCGGATGTGCCATCTACATACGAAATGGCATAACAGCAATCTCAGCTGTCCAGTTAGATTCGTTGATTTTAGGGATTCATTATGGTTGATTATTCCGGCCGCGCATCTGCTACTTGGCCGTATTTATAGATCTCCTGATGCCACTCTCCATGAATCTCAGCAGTTAATGTCTGTCATTAACGTAATCTTCAGCGCTCCACACAAGTACAAATTCCTATATAGAGATTCCAATCTATCACTCATAAATTGGATGTCGCACAGGCCTACTACAACCGGAGAACTTGCTGACCCAACAGGTTAAACAACCTACTGAGTTAGATAACATTCTGCACTTGGTTTTCACCTTGGGTATTCCATCTGTCTGTGTACTAGTGGAAAACCCATTAATAGGATGTGACCACAATACGGTGTTCTGCAGCATGAGTATCAGGTCATCTATAAAATAAGAAAGCCAATACCCCGAATACACCTTATTGATTGAAACACATTTGACAAGCTGCTTGGGAGTATGCATTGGGACCGATTCTTCTCCACATCAGATTCGGCCATAGCCGCAGGCGAATTCGCGAAAAATCTCATCACATGTACTAACATTCTTGCACCTACGATCAAGGTAAACACAGCCGCCTTCGATGGCCGATACAAAAGCTTATCCACGGTCGCTTCCAAGCTTAAGAAACTGAGATCATTACACTTCAAAAACAAATACATCGCCACATTAATCCAAATACATGAAACCTTACTGAAACTTGAATACCAAACTCAACAGTCCAGGATTGCTAACGAAACCCGAGACATCACTAATACAGAGAAAGCTCGTATCCTAATGCAATTACTAAGAAGAAGAAATCCAAAAAGGCACCATGAACTTCTAAGCCTAGTTTTAAACACCGGTGCGGCAACAGACGATTTAGTCAAAATATGTGATTCTATGAATTCCTACTCTGTCGCCTCGTTCACCACTGCACTGCACTCCTTCCAAGAAAAACGGAAGTATTATATACCATTCCTCCGAATCTAAAGGACGTACAGATAACTATAACATCTATCAAACCGACTTTCTAATCAGGACCTGATGGTATTCCCCCGGCTAGGTGGTAAAAACATATCTCTCCTCATGTTGAATTTTTTACACTGTCACTAAACACTGGTTGCTTCTCGCCTCAGTGGAAAAATTCCATAATTTTACCGAAACGGTCCACGAGATAGGATGTGAAATTATCGGCCGATAAACCATACTTCCGCCACTTCTAAGGCTTTGGAGAGAATCGTCATGATTCGGGTAACACAGTTTCTCACAAGACAAAACTTACTCAGCAGTTTCCAACATGGGTTCACCACAAAACCTTCTTGTATCACATGACAAATGCAATTCCTCGACCATGTTGCAGCAAACTTAAGTGACGGCATAGTCATTATCATCATTTTTCTCGATATGCAAAAACGTGTGACTGTGTACCACACAAACCATTCTTGGACGTGCTGGAGTCTTATGGAATCAGCAACTCTCTCTTGAGCTTGTTCGAATCATATCTTAACGACCGAACATAGTACAGATTAGTCAAAACTGTTCTACTTCCACAAATATCACGAGCGGTGTTGCTCAGGACAGTGTATTGGGCCTATTGCTTTTCCTCATTTACATAAGCGATATGTATGATTAAATTAGACACGGGCGCCTATTCATATTTGCAGACGACATCAAACTAGTGTACTCATTCCTACCTGACCTACTGAAACTGTGCTTAAAAATATATACGCGAGGACTTATCGTCTCTAGACAAATGGAGTGAAAGTATGTCAACCAAGTTTCCCACAGATAAATCTCAGATACTGCCACGGATTCAGTATACCAGAAAGCTCCATCACTCTCACTGGCACCCGCATCCCAACTGCGTATTCCGTTCGAGACCCAGGAATTCGATATCCGAGCAGCTTCAACTTCTCTTACGTCAAGTAGAGAAATCAAAACGACTAACAGGCTATATCACTAGGTAATTTTCCCTATCCCGAACATGACTTAAATCATTCCAACTCATTGTGTTACCTACTCTAGAGTATTGCACCATCATACACAGCCACTTACGTAAAACAGATAGAATTGCTTTGGAAAACATCGAGCGCTCATTTCCCAGAATGCCCATGGGGCGATCATCATCGCTTACCCATGAGGAGGAGGGATGTTCTCACCTCTGGCTTCGATGGCTAAAAATCAATTTCACTCTTCTCTAAAGCATACTATTCTCGCGAGTTTGTTCAACCAGTACGACCGTCGCATTACATAATGGCTCAACCTATCCCACCCGTAATGGGAAATGTCTACTATCCTTACAGAGGACCAAGAAAAATATCCGCCTAAAATTCTTCTTGGTGAGGTACGCCCATCTGTGGAATAAACTCCCGTTGCAATTAAAGACCTGCGAGAGCATGTCCATTTTATACTAATTTAAAAACTTTTCTTTCCATACTTTTGTATGGTCAAACTTTTCGACCTTCAACAATCCACGAGCGCGCTCATGGAATCGGGCCCGAACTACATATGACAACAGTAACTATCAATTCATGTTACTTATTACACACGCAACGAGACATTGCATACCTTTTCCATATTGAATGCAGTTCACAAATGAAATGATGACGAAACCCACTGTACGAATGATCATTCCACAAAAGGGAATGTACCCCGCTTGTCAGGAAATATACATATTTATTTATTGAATCATTTCATCAGGTTATCTCCAGATAGTTGGTTGTGTCCATCTGCCATTGGTTTCTCCACTTTTTGCTCCATTCACTTTATTTTTCTATTTCCTGTCAGGCAACTTCAAAATGACATTTCTCCAATTCGATCGCATCGCCGCCACGCATCTGGTGCGCATTCGGACCATGATTTGACCAACGTTTCTTTGGTCAGTTCAGCCACAGATGACAACACCCACGATGAGGCTCTACCTCTACCACATTCCGAACCGTTTACCCAATCAGTTCTTTCACCCCTCAGCCCATCGATTGCAGCGCGGAATCCTTTTCGGGTGAGTCGTTTGTTGGTTTCAGCTCTCCAATCCGACTTTTCACAACACGACATCTCCCTGCCAATTGTTTGAGCAGTTTTGTCGATAGCATCTGCATTCGGTTCCCTCTAGTCATCTGAATTTTGAGCTCGTTCCGGGAACAATCTCAGCGTACATCAAGTACGGTTGACGCATGTAGGGCCATAATGGCACATCCCCTGAAACAGCATCAAGATTGAAATCCGATCGACTTCTGTTATTCATAATCTTAGCGGTCATATATACTGTCCAGTGGCTTAAATCTAATAGCCGCCGCTTTGTTTATTGACGTCATATCTTTCCTCTGCGCTCGGTTTCGTTGTGCCGAGCATGCTGTTTGTCTGATGCGGTTTCAGTCGCTCTTCTTGACATTGCATATGTCTTCTTGTGAACCATTCGTACAGTTATCCTCAACTATTTGGTGCGTCGACAAACGCGCGTGTGTGAACAGCTGGGTTCACGGGATATCGACTACGCGCTAACTCCGTTCACACTATGCCAACCATCACACGCTTCTTGATTAAATACCTGCTCCTGTATGAGGTTTGGGTCTCTTGTAGAAAATTTCCTCTCCTTGTTATTGTGAGTCTCTGTGTGGCGCCATCTTTCCTGTGTGTTCTCAGATAAACTCAGCTCCGTCAAATCACTTCATTCCGCATTTTGACCTCATCTCTCTTCCGCATCTCATTCGACTCTGCTCATACGTTGTACTGGAACTTCATTTTCCATCACTATATATATATATATATGTCAAGAAGAGCGACTGCAACCGCAT